CCCCAAAACCCCAAAACCCCAAAACCCCAAAACCCCACGATAAAAATTAAGCAAATAAAGAAATTTAAAGATTAAAGTTAAGTATTAGTTATAAGAGTTTAAGTATTTTCTATCAAAGTTATGAGGCATTCTTATCTAATCAATGATAAGTAAGAATTTTTTCCTTCACTGGGGATTTTAAATTTTTTCTAATTCTTGAATTATAAGACTGATGTTTGTATTCTAATTTTGATCAGCCATGTAGAATTGGCTGAATATATTTGATTGTATTTTAATCAATTGTGATATTTCAGCTGAATCATCAGCATTTGCTTTATCTCCTCCTAATTACTGAAAGTTTGCTTTAAGTTGATTGTAGAAGGATCCATTGCTGCAAGAGCTTTAACCTTTAACTTGTAATTTATGATAATTCTTTTCTAAATACAGAAGACTTAACAAAATAATGGCTCTTTCCAAGTCATACATTAAGTACTCTTTGAATTTAAACTTATAGATATGACAGACTACACAGAGCTAGCTGACATACTAGGATTACTAATCAAAATAGGTTTTTTCTGTCGATTTTCTGACTTGTACTTAATTACATGCCTAGTTTTTTAAAATAGACAGTATCTAGTCACATTGTTCGTGTAATTCTAAAACTTCAAAAGTAAAGAATTCTTGATTATAGATTATCTCATTTAATTCCAAAATATCTTCTACTTTGAAATTATCATGGTTGAATTCTGAATCAACGATAGCTTTAGGTGTTATTGGTTCATCTTCTATGTATTATGAACTCAACTAGAGGGAACAAATTGACATCAAGGTGATTAAATTATTTGGGTCTGACCTTTAAAGTTCTCTAAATTTTTTTGTATTCGCAAATTTGTCAAAGATCTAAATGGCAGTCATTAGAACTCTTGAATCAAAATCTGTAAGTTTTTACAGTATTTACACCATACTTTCAATAGCCTTAGCTCTCACTTAAATTTCTATTTTCAAATCATTCTTGCAAAATACTTTTCCCTTTATTTTTGGCGGTTCTTATTGTTCCTAAGAAGATGATTAGTTATTTTATTTATAATAGTTTCTAGTTAGCTTGTTCTCATTTTTATTTTCTGCTTGCTATTCAATCAGACTCATGCTCTCTAAAGATCCATTATGTTTTTTATCTTTTAGACATAATTACATCCTATCCTGCTCAAGATCATCAACCTATTAATCCGAAGTTTCTTGATTATTAAAATCGATATTCTTGTTGTCAATTCTCGCAGCCTTTCTTAAAATCGCAGAATATGCAGGTTACACACTCATGAGTTAGATTTTTTCATTCATAACTTATTTATTTAATAGCTCTGTCTCTTAAATATTTAATTTCTGAAATTATTACTATCTATCATGGTGAACAAAATTTCTTATTTTTCCAAATTATTTTTAACTTAATGGCAATCTCTCTGTAGGAATTTAGTCCTGTGTTGTAATTAAAATTCTTTTCTGAATATTTTTATAAAGTCAATTGCGATAATGTATCTTAGAATGTGCTCTGATCTAATAATTTTTGCATCTAATACTGTAATCAATTTCTTTATTTTCATCGAAGTCATCCTCAAAATCTTCATCTTTATTACAATATTTTTCTTCGTGGATTATTGAAAGTATCTTTTTTTCACCCTATCTCATTGGATTCGGTTGAATTAGCAAAGGCCTGTTTATTATTGCTGGATTATTAATAATACACTTATGAGAGGAAGACATTGAATAATTGAGAGTTAAAATTGTATTAAGTTTATATAAATTACTGGATTCAGCTTTATCAACTATCTTAAATTTCCAAAAATTCTTATAAAAACTCTTTACGGGGTTTTGGGGTTTTGGGGTTTTGGGGTTTTGGGGTTTTGGGG